GAGTCAGCTTTTAAGAACTTGTGATGATGAGAAGAACATCTAGAATAATTTGAGGTTTGAGGTTTTTAAGATATTGTAATGCATGCGCACTATAAGTTTCAATACTTGGAGTCTTAGATATATAAGCTTAGGTGGCTGTCATCTTTATTATTGTTATTATTATCTTTTTATAATGGTGGTCTTTACACCAGCTTACGTGTACCTAAACTAGCTTTGGTGGCTATTATATTTTGTCATGCTGTTGCAGTTTTTTTTAAGGGGAGCCTTGGAGCAACGGTCAAGTTGTCTTCGCGTGATATATAGGTCACGTGTTCGAGCCGTGGAATCAGCCATTGATACTTGTATCAGGGTAGGTTACATCACACCCCCTTGGGGAGCGGCCCTTTTTCGGACCGTGAACGTGGAATGATTTATGCACCGGAATCGGATTGCCCTTTTAATGCCGTTGCAGTTTTCTTTCATAGTTCCTTTTGCTAGTGTCCAGAAATGGATGAAGAATGGGGGTCAGGGTGGTTGATTAGTCGGATTCATTTGTTTGAAAAACTCAGCATCAAATAAACTAATCTTGAATGCTCGAGAGACTATTGGTAGATAAGATAACTTACACAGGATGTATTTAACCAGTAGCAGCTAGCTGGTTTTTTCATGCACTAAATGCAAAATTGCTCCTAGTGGATAAGAAACGTTCGGTGATATCTTGGCCAAACATGTTGGACATATAATTTTTTGTTTGGTGGAAGACTAAGGTTGTGGCCTAGCGATAAATAACACGGGGTAAAAAATTGTAGACTATATGTCAAAATCCAATAGAGACAAAAATTATTAAGTGATTTCTTTTTATCTGCCTAAGTCTTGATGGGCAGAGTTACTCGATACCTACACTAACGCGAAGTAGCAGTTACTCAATGAAAAAGTCGAGGTGCACAAAAACTGACTCGAAACTTCGTGGACAAAAAGATGGTGTTGAGAAAATCAATGAGGTAGATTCTGCTTACCCATATATCAGCAGCTAATAAGTCACTTTTGAGTTGCTTAAATTGGAAAGTGAAAAAGATCTTGAGAATCTTGTTGGGTCATCGATAAGTTTTATTGAGATAATATTAGGTACTTCTAGAAAACCAAATAGTAAATATTTGAACAATTGAAAAACTATCCAGGAGTCTATGTATTCAAAAGTAGGTGAATCTGCTGCCGTCATGTAGGATTGACCATTAAACGATCTACATTTTTAACTCAAAGTCAACTTAGACCATTTGATTTCTTAAGACATGAGTTTGTTTTTATACTACTAGAGTTGTGGAGCATATGGTCAAATTTTGGCTCCTCAACACCCACCCACCCACTCATTCACCCAAATAAAGAATAAATGTAGAATCTAATTTTTAAATGATAATATAAAAAAATGTTACACTATTAAATTCATTAAATTAAACTATAATATATCTGCTCATAATAAGCATAAATTGGTAAATAAAAAAGCTAGCTTATGAACATATTAAAGATGTACATAAAAACTCCTCTTCTTAGCTTTGATTGTGTATTGGTAAAATCTGGCTTTGACATGTGAGTAGTTTATATAGCGAGATGAATGAACGACAGAAGTCTGTCCCCACAAGAAATATCTTTAATCGGTAGCTTCTTTTTGGGGAGACAGAAGCAATGCCTCGGTGAAGCACTACGAGAACGACCCGGTAAATCTAGTGATGCAGTTGTAACCCAGAGTCTTGCTTGGTTTTCAATCATTTCCAAAATATTCGAGATCTACTTATATCCACTATGCCTGACGCTTATTTCACAACTGGCGAGTACCTCGGTAACTAATAACCATCCAGAGCAACATGTGGGAGTTAAATTAAGGATATGAACGTTAGGCTTAGGCTATAAATACCTCCAACCCGCACTTGTAATTCATTTAGATTCTGCTCTACTCATCCATTATTATAAGCTATTGTATTTCGCTCTTGTCAAACCGGGCAATCGATCTTTACTTTGTAGTACTGTGTCTCGTAAACAATCTCAATAAGATTATTTTTCTTTTGCTTATTCACTTTGACGATCATATTATCATTATCATTTATTACTTATTTAGCCTAGTCAAGTGATTTATTTAATTAAGCTCTAATTTGAACCGATTATTAGTGACCTCATCAAATATAGATTCAACTATTTTATCCTGAAATTATTTTTGGGTTAAACATATTGAAATTGATAGTTGTTGTGACCTTGTAATCTGTAAAATTGTTCTGATATATTGTTAGTATTATATCTCTTAAATTCGTAAAAGGAAAAAGTATAAAAAATTGCCATGAGTTAAAGATTATATATCTATACTATATTAAAAGCACGAAGGCCCTTAGCAAAATATCGTTTGCCTTTTTTACCCTTTTAAAATAGAGTTCACACTAGACAAAATAGTCATTTAATTATTATCCTAATATTTAGGACTTTAAAAGAAACTAAAATTTCGATTATTAAATTTTTCCTTATTGAATTAAGTAAGAAATCCTAATATTAAGGACTTTAAAATAGATATTATTTAAGAGAAGTAAGAGTATTACGTTTCTTTTCCTTATGTATACTCACGGTAATTTCCATAGAAATATGCTCACATTGATTCCTCTTATTAGGGAACCTATAATTCTAACAACATGTTTCTATATATTGTTAGCAAGAGGTTTTGTACCTAATTAAATATTTATTCTAATTATTAAATGTAGTTTTCAATATTACATAAACCGATAAAGAGAATGATATTATGTTCGAGTACCAAAAAAGTTCGAAAATAATTTGTATCTTTTATACTATCATAAAAGCATGAAATCTCAACAAATAATTAAGTCTTTGAATTAATAAAGCAGCAAAAAAGTCAATTCAATTTTGTTTCAAAATTATCATGTAAGTAAACTTATTTGCCAAGTTGATAAAACTCTTAAGGTACACAAATTGTTTTACACGATAAGAGCATTTGCCGTGAAATAAATAAGAAAATAGAGCAGAATTTATTATAATATAGTATTAAAAGTTACATTGATAAAATGCTATGTTGAAGTAATAAGGATATAACATAAGACAAAAAGTATTCAAAAAAGTGCCATTATCATTTTCCTTTCTTTTTATATTCATTTCAATAAATGATAGCTCCCTATATTTTTCATATCGTATTGCATTATTTTTTATAATTCAATATCAGCTACTAAGACTTTATATTGTTATTTATCAATATTTTTCTAGGGGCTATAGTTGTATCTCTTCACTCACAAATTTCTAAAAGACCAAAAGATTCAAATTCTTCAATTTGTTTTATTATCTTTGAATAATTATTGTAAAGTATTTTTTTTGTTATTTGTTTATAGTATTTGGTAATAAAGATAAGAATAATTTTCATAAGATACATATTTCATGTATCATAAATCATAATAAGACACATAAAGACTTATGTGGAGTAGGATTTATTTATTTAATGAGCTAGCTTAGTGAGATTAACATTCATTATATTTAGAAACTTACATTTTTTTCTTTGTTTTTCAATAACTCAAACACATTATTTAACAAATATATATATAATTTTAAAAAAAAATTATATTTATTGCTATAGGTACACGCGCGTACCCTAAAACTAGTTATATATATACACACACGAGGAAAAGCATGAAGTTGGCTGCATTCAGATTAGGAGAATCCCATTTCAACTTTTTCCTCTGTTCATTTATTAAGGTGTTGTTTATCAGTAATCTAACAAATAAAAGGACGGCAGATGAGTTATTTAATAAGTAGTATCTCTTTCCCTCGCTTATCCACTCCCTAGCTTCTCATTAATAACCAACGAATTTACTTTTTATACAAAAAAAAAAGTTCGGTTTACTGATCTCCCGCTATGCGAAAGGTCCTGGGAAAGGTCGGACCACAAGGATCTATTGTACGCAGCCTTACCCTATATTTCTGCAAGAGGCTGTTTCCACGGCTTGAAACCGTGACTTCCTGATCACATGTCAACAACTTTACCAATTACATTTATAAAAAAAACAAGAAAGAAAACGATCACTTTTTACACTATTAAATTATTTAAAACCAACTACACATACTTTCTTAATGGCAAGTGCAAGTTGACAATAAAAAAAATGGTAACTTGCAATATTCAATTAAACTAAGACAAACCCCTTTTTCTTAGCAAAGTATTCACCGATTCTTCAAAAAATTATATTATATAAAAATTATTTATACTATTAATAGAAATCCACATTTTCTTACCATCATCTCCATTGAAAAAAGTAAATTTTAATTATGCACTTTTGACTTATATAACTTTAAGAGCCCGTTTAGATGAACTTGTTGTAAGTGATTTTTAAATCAAAAGTCATAAGTTAGAAATTCTAATTTTTGGCTTATTTTTATCATTTTAGCTTAAAACGAGTGCTTAAAAGTATTTTTTTACTTTATTCAAACACTACAAAATGGCTTAAAAGCGATTTTGGTTTAAAAACAGTTAAAATAAGCCAATCCAAAGGGGCTCAAAGTCTGTAACAACTCAATTCATTTTGTTCTTATGAATAATTATTGTCACTTCTAGTAAGATCAAAATTATTATTCATGCCGATAAAACTACATTCATCTCGTGGAATAAAATTTTCAACACATATTGCCTTCAATTATTCAACGAATAGTTTTTCAATATCATTTTATGTTGTCCTCTATTTTAATCTGTTTAAAAGAAAAACCATTTGATATATGAAAACTGTTTAGCTTTGAAAAATTTCTATTATGCTCAATATTATATTCTTATAATTATAAAAATATCATTTCACGCTTAAATCACACATTATATGGTGCTTTTAATATGTATTTAACGGATATTGTTTTTGAATTTTATATCCAGTCAACAAACCATATAAAATTAAGCTGATGCAAATTTATCCTTCTGTAACTTGTCATATGGACGCGTGCAGAGAATTAATGCACAATCTAATGAATGCGAACAAAAAGCAAAGGCTACATTTTAATTCTAGCTTACGAAGAAAAAGCTCAACATCTCTCTCCACTCTCTCTCAGTAAAACTTCTGATATTTAGCGTTCTCTCTCTAGAAAATCATTACATACAACACTCACATTTTATACATACAAAACCCTAGCAACTCTCCGATCCTCTTCCGACGATCGTCCTCCATGCCGCCGGCGAGAGGAAACGGAGCTCCGATTCACTTCATTGATCTCAGCTGATTTCATTTTGATCCTTGCTCCTGAGTATTTTTGTGCTTTTGTCTAAGATTCTAGAAGAAATGTACAAAAACCAGCTGCAGGAGCTGGCACAAAGGAGTTGCTTCAACTTGCCGTCTTACACTTGTATTAGAGAAGGTCCGGATCACGCGCCGCGGTTCAAGGCTACTGTTAACTTCAATGGAGAAATCTTTGAGAGTCCGAATTACTGCTCTACACTTCGCCAGGCTGAGCACTCTGCTGCTGAGGTTGCATTAAATGCACTCGCTAATCGCGGTCCTTCCTACTCGCTTGCTGCTAGAATTCTGGTATTTATTTCCCCATTTTAGTGGCAAAATATTGGGGGTTTTCCCCAATCATTTGTTTCAGATGGACTTTTTACGCTTTGCCTTTTGCGATTGATTTTACTGAAATGAATCTCTTTTTTAAGTTTTTAGAATATTTAGGAGGTTTTGCTTGCGAGTATAAAAAGTATTTTACACAATCAGGTCACTTATTAGTTAATTACAGGTAAATCTCTTGATAAGCATTATTTGGTAAGTTGGTGAAAATGATAATTAATCTGCTATCAAAGGTGAAGGTAATTTACACTGTAAGTGTATATAATTGAAATCCTTTGCCTAAATATATATGCATTAGTGACTTTTCGATTATAGTTCCAGTGAATATTGGTCATCTAGATTAAGAAGGTGGAATAAGTGTAGCCGTGTGAGGTAGCAAGGCTATTTTTAAGGGGGGAAATTTAGTTTTTTCTTTCTGGTTTTTATAATTGTAGTGGCTAGGGTAGCTTGCATGGGATACCTGCTATCTTCCAACAATACGGGTACCGGGTAACTCTGCCAACCAAGGTTATGGGAGAATTCACCTAATGTTGCTTCTAACAGGATTCAAACCATTAATGTATTTTCTTGATCACTACTACAGTTTTTCTTTATAAAACTTTTTTGCTAGATTTTTGGAGTCCAGAACTTTTGGAAGATAGTGCCAACTTCTAATGGTCTGTAGGCATTGGGTCTCATCATGTATTGCTGCATCATTTTTGTATCGTGCTCAATTTTGTAGTTAGGTAAACTTAATCCCCAAACAAATCTGAATCCCTGGCCAATATCACAAATATGCAGTAAAAATGACAGTGCAGGTAAGTAAGTCCGACATTTGTAAATCACAAATTGTGGCCTCCATGGATTTTATGTCATGACTAATTGTTTTGACTTAAAATATGGTTCTTACCATTAGTTGTGACAGTAGAAGGCTCATGGTTACTTTGGCATTTTGGTTTCTGATTCTTTAAACACTGATTTGCAGGATGAGACAGGGGTGTATAAGAATCTGTTACAGGAAGTTTCACAAAGAGTGGGAGCATCATTGCCAGCATATACGACTTTTAGATCTGGTCTAGGACATCTTCCTGTCTTTACCTGCACGGTAGAGTTGGCAGGCGTCACATTTACTGGCGAGCCAGCAAAAAATAAAAAGCAAGCTGAAAAGAATGCAGCCATGGCAGCTTGGTCGTCTCTGAAATTATGTAAGTGATTCCAATGTCTATTAACCAACTCATACTTGCTGCATGGATTATTTGGGAACCTTATTTCTTTATGAAGAAGTTATTGTAAAGCTGCATGTATGCATGTGTGTGGTGGCAGGGCTTATGGAGTTGTTATAAATGCCAAATCATGAATTGTGTGTGGATTTAGGGTTTTTTTTTTGGGGAGGGGGTTACCTTCTAAACTTATTTTACATCTGGTGTGAGACTCTGCATGTAAGATGAATATATATATATATATATATATATATATGTGTGTGTGTGTGTGTGTGTGTGTGTGTGTGTGTGTTGGTTTAAAGAAAAAGTCTGGATCATCTCGACAGAAATTATGCAGTGCTAAAATTTCAGGGTAAAGGGCTGTACTAGTAAATTTTTTAGGCTGACGGAACTGCAAAGATACGCAGAACAATAGCTGAGGTGAAACTACAGCAGAAGCAGAAGAGGGAGGAGCAAGAACGAAGAGACAATTGAAAGAGTGAATTCAGAATCTAGGGCTGGCAAATGGATGTATCTATTTGGATTGTAGTGGAAGCGCAAATATATACCTGATATTATCAGCTCTTTAGAAAATAATAAATATATACCTGCTTATATAAAAGAATTAGCTTGTTGAAAAACTGATGAACAAAATCAGGATGGCTTCCATACAGACTAGCATATAGATGTTTAGATAGATAAGAGGATCAACAGTTAGCTAAGAGCTTAAGGTAAGACCTGGAGAATGAGGCTTCTTGGGAATCATGCAAAAAGTTATACGAGGATGAAAACCGGTCTTATCCTTAAAAAAAATAGAAGAATATGAAGTAGAAATCAGTGAACCTAGTGAACTTGGAAATTTTCTGTGAAGTATTTAGCTAGGCTCTTGTTGATTCCAAATTTACCCCTCCCAACCGCCACCACCCCAATCCAAAAAGGGGCTAGAAATTACATTGACCCAATCCACCACCTGCCTGTTTTTCCTTTGTACAAAGTTGCATACATCACAATTACCACCACCCCAACCCAAAAAGGGGGTAGAATCTTGACCCAACCCACCACCTGCCTGTTTGCCTTTTATATATGGTTGCATACATTACAATTACCCAGACACTTTCTTCTGGTCTTCCCAGCATTGCTGAATATTCGAGCAATTAAAAAGATTAAACCAGATATTTCTCTTCTATCTGAGCTTCGTGACTTTCTTGTCCGGCATATTCATTAAAAATGATAAGCTTAGGAGGTCCAGGGATTTCCAACCTTCTAGTAACGACCTTGTTGAGAAGGATTTAAGTGCTAGAATATCATCAGTGCTGGCATGGCGTATCAAATTTTGGAAGTTCTATGGTACGAAAACTTTCAGTGCTGCAATCTAATGGTTTCCTGAATGCTTGTGCTTGCAAATCATTACATTTTTAGTTTCTATTTTTTTTTAATTAGATAGATATTCACTTTGTACACTGATGATAAGCTTTAATCTGTATTTTACTTTCATGAATTATAAGTTGCACTATTCTGCATGACATTCTTCTATTATTTGTCTATCAGTAGCGCAGCAGTCTGAAAGTTCAAAACCAGACCGAGGAAGAAATGATGAGCAAGAGCATGTAACTGTTGCACGTGCACTACAAAGGTATATTATGAAGGCAAGGCTGGCTAGAATATCATTCCCAATTAAATTTCCAACACCCAATCCAAGACCAAGTGTACAACAGGCTCCATCTACAACGTCAAAACTCCTTCCCCTAATATGTCCTAGAACAGCTCCTCGCAGTAGGCCGGTCAGTCCATTATGTCTAAAACCTGCTACTCAAAGTAGACCCTTTGATACTACAGAAAGCGACACATCATTGAGTCCAAGGACTGCTCAAGCCATAAGTGCCATTTTAAGTGACAGCTTTTCTGTAGATAGCCACAAGGTTCGAGCGGAGAAGTTCCCCGCTGCTAGTGCAGCCCCATATATTCCTGTCAGGCATTTTGGCCCACACCATCGAATGGCTCCTCCAGTGACCATACGGAATGCAATTCATGTTTACTCTGCACCACCGCTTCCTCCACCATCTAGGTCGCCAAGTGTTATAAGGTCTCCGGGTCTGGGAGTGGCACCACCTGTCTGTGTAAGACAGGCAATGCCGGTTTATGCTGCACCCCCTATTCGGGCAGAAAAGCTCCCCACATTAGATACAGCACTTCAAGTAGTGGAGCCTACCTTTTCTAAAGCTCCACCTGTTCAAGTTGAAGAACCAGTAGCTTCAGAGGGACCTGAAATTCCGGTACATGAATTACCAACTTGTAAAGCAGTGCCAGGCAAGCCAGAATTGGCACATGAACATTCTGAAGAGCAACCATGTTCCCAACTCCAACCGACTAAGAGAGAGGAGCCAGTTGACTTTGAAATTTCAAGGAGCGTGACAATACCTGTGGAAGGAACAAAGACTGCAGCTGAGGAGAAGCCACAGGAGTCTCTAGAAATTGAGAATTTGAAACAACTAAAGATATGATGTATTGTCAGGCATGGGATGGTTCGGACTGCAGAACCTTCAATAGGCTTTCGTACTAGGATTTAGTTTGTATGTTCTTATGTAGTCTTTAAAAAAAAGTCTAAATCTGTCAGTCTGCTTTCACAATTTTCATTTGGAATAGTTTTATTGAGATAGTTGTAGCTACCTTTTTACCGCAGTTCCTTTACAGTTCAATACCAGCAATTCTATGAAATTACTTGCAGCTAGTTGGATATATAGTTATAATACCAGTCAAAGGGCTTTATCGAATAACAGTTAGTAGCAAAAATGCCAAAAAAGAGACCTCTCAAAACTAGAGTTTCACCTCATGTGTATATGCTTGTAGCTTCGGTAATCCGTTGAAAATGCAGTATCGTTTCACTTTATTAAAAAGTAAGATGTCGAGTTCTCTTACTGTTCCTTTAAATCCCTCTTTGCTGGCGATTGTAGTAGATTTCATTAGGAACTGTCCTTCGAGCTTCATCCAACTTAAATGTATAGATAAATCGAAAAAGGCCTAAAATTACCCTTATACTATTTGAAATATACCACTTTTGTCCTGCGTTAAATTTTAGTACCAAGAATATTTGCATAAATATCCGAAATTTGCCAGAGTCTGAAAAAATACATAACTCGAGTTTAAGGCCTCCATGCTAGAACTGTCATTGCTCGAGAAGAAAGACAGCAAGATGGAAGTACGGACTCAGTTAGGAGTTCAGGCAACACTGATACGTAGGAAAATATAGTGTCCAAATTAAAAGGAGTGTTTTTGCATCTACTAAAGAACATGCTTGACTATTCAATACAAAAGGTTCCTGTACATACTGTACATGCATCACAAACCTTTACCTGAACAGAACAGCCACAAAAGTACGAACTTGTCTGGCGGATTAACATGAAGAGACCTAGATTTTGTCGACAATTGATGTAGTGACTGAAGCTATATGTGCACATGAAACTTGACAATCGACCGTGACTACACTCTACACTTCAAGAAGAGAAGCCAGCTTCCATTGCACGATATATTGAAGCAGTGTCAAACCGGAAGTTTCTGAAGCTTTTGCCAGGACCTGTGTCTGGGGGATGTGCATCAGCTGCAGGCTTGTTCAATTGAATCTCAGTTAAAACTGAGCTGCTCCCAGTGGAACTATTCTTTGCGTTCCATACACTTTTTCCTACATAAAAGAACTAAACCTTATCAGCAAATTGTATAAAAATTAATATGCTGTGTCCTAAGCACAAGATATTAAACGAAAGTTAGCATTATAACTCCCACTGGACTAATGTAATGCATAAAGCTTAGGCTTTTGATAAAATGCTGACTGAGCTTTTCTTTCTATAGCTAGTTGAATGTATTGGAGGTAAGTGTAACTACTATCATACTTCCCAACTTTTTTCTTTAAGCAACTGAGAGGGTGGGTGACATTTTCTTAATCAGATTAGATTTGGTGAGCTCAATTTAGACCTTATGCAATCACATTCTACTCTTTCCTGTAAGTCATTGACTATTCATAGTTATTAATCCCTCTGTTTCAGTTTATACGGCGTTGTTTGATTGGGCACAAAATGTAAGAGAGAAATGAAGACTTTGAAGGTCGTGGTTTTTTAATTTCTTTTGAGAAAGACTTTGAAACTTGTGGTCATTTTTTATTTCTTTTGAGAAAGACTTTGAAACTTGTGGTCATTTTTTATTTCTTTTGAGAAAGACTTTGAAACTTGTGGTCTTTTTTTTTTTTTTTTGAGAAAGACTTTGAAACTTGTGATTTTAAATATGCTTAATATTTCTGTGGCTATAAGACTTTTAAAACTACTAGTCTTAACTCTTAAACATGCCATAACATTTGTGTGGTTATCATTAAGGGTAAAATGGAAAGTTCAAGTTAAATTATTTCTTCTAAATTTAGAAAGGCGTCGCTCCTTTTTAAACAGACTAATAAGGAAATAGTGCCAATCCTTTTGAAGTAGAGGGAGTACCTTTTAGACCAAAGAAGAGTAGATGAACTAGAGGGGAAAGTTGGAAGGAGAACATTCTAACATTCTTTCATTCTGCTTTGTCTTGGTGAGAGGGCTTCAAGTAAGGTTAGAAGTATCATTAAACGACAGTCGACAGCTGGTGTATCTTCCTTCTACTTAGTACATCTCAGGTTTAACGACATGGTGTATCTTCCCTGTACTTATTAAATCTCAGGGGTCCCTAATGAGTAATGAAGTCATCTTAAATAAAATATACCTTGGATCTTACAAAACACCTCACATAAAGAAACAGAGAGGAGAGGGACCATTATCCACTACCATAAGTCCATAACAAACTGAATCATACGATATCCTTTACCAATTAAAAAGAAGGTGAAGGGGCGCTGTGGAGAAGAAAATTGGATCAGTTATGCAATGTAGTCACTGGTTTCATGATTATTGAGATCAACCAACCAACAAAAAAGAAAAATGAACAATTCCCTCTACACCCCACCCCCGTTTTTTTCCTTCAAGGGTGGAAGAGATTTAGATAGATGCATTTAACCCAAGAGAAAGGTTTATTATATTAACAATATAGGGGTACGGAGTAGGGACTTGAGTGGGTGGGTTTNATAAGTTAGTATAAAAATTAGCCAATTCATAAATTATTACCCATATTAGCCAATTAGCTATTTGTCGCGGAAAAAAATGTCAATCTTTTGCTTTCTTCTGAGTGGGTGTTGTTGGAATAGATTGGATACATCTTAAGGAGTTTAAATCCCAGTTTTGGGATGATTTAGTAGAGTTTTGAGTTGGTTTGAATTGAAAATTCGAAGTAGAAGATGAACATGGAAAAAAATTATGTGTATCACACTGTGTATCATTTGTGTATCACATATGTATCATATTTGTATCAAATGTGTATCACATATATATCCATGTATACCTGTGTGAGATATATGCGTTATACATGTGTCGCAGAAAAAAAATTTGAACTGGATTTTAACTACGAATTTTGATACCAAATCAGTCCAAATCACCTCCAATCTTCCTCAAATTTTGCATATTGACTCATCTATATGTTTTCAATGAATTTCGACCATAGCTATTGAAAAAAGTCCATTTTTGCTTAGATTTTTGGATTTTGTATATATATACTTTTTTGTATTACATCACCTTGTTTGCTACTTCATCCATGAAATTTCCTTTTCGTCTTGCATCTAATGTTGCTGATCACGCTTAAAAATATGGAAGGAGATCTTTGCGTGTGATTCTTGGAGAGAAAAAATCCTTATGCAAGTTTTGTATGTGCTTTGGCAAGTTTTGGTAAGTCTATGATTAATGGCTATAGGTTGGTAAGTTAGAACTTATTTGGGACATTTCCGTATGATTCCCATTAAATAACCCAAGAGAAAGGTCAAGGGACTAAAAGGCAGAGATCCACTTTAAGGGCAGCCCGGTGCACTAAGATCCCGCTATGCGTGGGTCTGGGGAAGGATCGACCACAACGGTCTATTGTACGCAAGCTTACCCTGCATTTCTGCAAGAGGTTGTTTCCACGGCTTGAACCCGTGACCCGCTGGTCACATGGCAACAACTTTACTAGCTACGCCAAGGCTCCCCCTTCAGAGATCCACCTTACCCTATTTATATGTTCCAAACTATTTATAATCTTTGAAATGCGTACTTGGATCATCATCTTAGTTACCTTACTGTCTCATAGTTTGATGCAAAGGGTAAAGTTTCCACTTTATCTTGATGTTAGATATACAAGTAATCTGCAGTAAAATATGACTATTCAACTCAAATGGGAGAAATATAAAATTGGCCAGCATTCTAACCCAACCAACTTGATGTAAATTGAAACTTCATTAAGCTAGTTTCCCGGAGGACAGATAAGTAATCGAATTCAAACAACAGTCAAGATCAACCAGCTAGATGACGTGTTAGCTAGTAGCTACTACAGAAGAGAGGATTTGGGGAAATGGAGAAAGAATGCACCTCTTGAAGGCCTATCCAGTCTAGGTGCTACTGGAGGCTGATGTGCTGAAATCCATGATCTCAAAGATCTGTGAGAAGTATTTGGAATCATTAGCGAAACAACTAAAGGGCATCCTCCAGGTTTACAAACTAAGCATTTCACTCACGTTAAAAATGGAGAAACCATGTAGAGCTTGAGGCCAGTCATCCCACGAGATATGACGTCATTACTTGCTGGTTGAAGTTCATCCAGTCTTTGCCATGCAATTTCCTGAATTCAACATGCAAACCAACAAATTTTAATTCCCAGAGGAAGCAGTCACAGTCGGATTCTCGTATTGAATATGAGCTTTGCATATGTACAACCTAAGTGATTATACCATGCCAGCTCCATATACAATCCGTAAATTTTAGAACACATGCACGTGTTTGCATGCAATTTGTGCGTTGTGTAGAGAATGATCATCAATGTTAAAGTAACCAATGGGAGAGCAAAAGAATGTGCATGTTACAAAAACTAACTTATAAAGATTCCTGCAGACATCAACCAATTAAAGAAGTGTAATTCTAGATAGCATCTTAAGTATCAACTTCATGCAAAATCATGAGAGGAAAGACAATCCTTAGCATATCTTTAGTGATCGACATTGCAAGAGTAACTCAATTTTCCTCCGAAAATAAAGTTCAATACTTCATCCAAAAAATAATGGCTATAAAATCCAGCTGAAATGTATCAGCATGACATACCTACATAACATAAATCTCATCCAACAGGTCATCACTAAACTTGATATACATAATACATGTCATATGACACTGAGAAATGTGAAGTTCAATGGCAAGTAAAATTCCATAGGAATCTGCTGCTCCATATAGTCGTATTAAATTAAGGTAGTAAGCTCAGAAAATTATCTATTAGCATGGGCTCCAAAAAAACAAAATTCTTACACAAAATGCTAAAGTCAACAAAGGCAAGCAAATGATATACCATCACTCTAAAAAACAAGTGTGCTGGTAGACCATACAGTAATTCAACATTAGCAATATTTTCATTTAGCTGGGACAGCATAAATCCATCTATTAAAGATAACAAGAAAAGGACATTGATGAACAGATTACACTTTGCCACGAGTGTTTCTGCGATACTGATCTCCTTTTCAGCTTTTAACTTGCACAAAGTATTTCACTTACACTAATTTCTTTTTTAGTTTGTGGGGCAAATGATGTATCCTCTTTCACTCCAGCTATTATGTAAAGCCGCACTCTTTGCTGTCCAAAAGT